TAGCTTGCACTGTATCTGTACTGGATTTGGCTTGTTTGCTAGAAAGCTCCATGAGTGAAAAGTGCATGTACACAGTGATTTTATGTGTATCTGTGTGTGTGAGTGGATGTGCCAGGGCCAAACAGACAAACACACAACCGGTCCAAAATGGCTACAGATAAGCAGCAGTAACAGAAAATGATTAAAGTGATGTATTATATCGATTAAAGTGCTGACCTCTGAACTTCAGGGCACATTTTTTGCAGGACATTCAGTTCCTGGACATCCACCCTACCTTAGGGTTCAAGCTCTGCCCTGCATTTTCATTTCGATTAACCAGGTTTGTAGCAGTATAAAGGGAGGTCTTTTGTGAGATGGTGTATTTCAAAAGGTTGCATGAATTGTCCCTCTGTACCACAATGACAAAGGGGTTTAAGATGCAGTTAGATGTAAATTCTGAGACCTTCACATGGACCACACACACCATTTAGCTTTGTAAACCCAAACCAGGGGCAACAATTTTTGCTTTATTACACAGTGTCCCTATTCATGTAATTTGATATAAGAAGCATTTTGCTTAAAAATACGGTCCAGGAATTTGCTCACACCAATTAAAAGCAAAAATATATGCTGTTTTCTATTATTCGGGTTGTAAACAAGTAACGGCAAATAGCAGCACTTCCACTCAATGTGGTAGATGTCAACGCATTCAGAACCAAACTAATATCCTGTCAAAGCTTTAGACCTTTTTCTGTGGTGTTCCTGTTGCCTGCACCCACCTCACCAGTCTATAGAGTGGCTCTGCCAAACATGGAAACAAGCTGGTTCTGTTTATGTGGTACTTATTTTCTTAAGACTATACTCAACAGTACAGTCCACCTTTAATTTTTCATTTCTTTACTGTTTTCAGCAGCAAAACAACATCTAGGGACTTTGCTGTATCGTTTGCAGACATTGTGGATGACATACAGGAATGTTTGCGCATCCTGTGAGAAGAAAATACATGTTATAATATATGTCCTTCACTAAATCATGCCTTTTTATGTAATGGAGCCAGCCTGTTGTATACACAACAGCCATTCACACACACTTGTCATCTCTCCTGCTATCATCATCTGAGTGAGTGTGTAGGTGTCTGTGTGTGTAAGTGATCCTGTCTCTGTGAGGTTAATTGAAGGCAGGAGCTCTGACTGTCTGAGACATAATCTGTCTGCATGAATGTGTGTGCGTGTGTGTGCATGCTGGGTCTGGTCGGGGCTATTCTTGGGGATTTGGGGTGCACAAAAGAAACAAATAAAAACAACAACAGCAAAAAGCATGCTTTTCTTTCATATTAGTTCTTATCAGAGGAGTCATTTTTTGACAGGAGAAAAACCTTTATCTGGAAGAAACTGTGTCCGTCTGGCCTTGTGTGTAAGCACACACACATACACACACAAAGAGCTGTGCTCATGGCCTGACGGGCTGGCGCTCACACACACAGAGCAGGTAATCAGCTCACTAGTAAAGTTAGGGGGTTAGAGAAAGGGAGGAAAAAGCTCTCACCAAGGGTTTTGCCCTCTTTGACTGGATTAGATCCAACTAGTATTCAGTCCAGGTGCCCCAGAGGATGGAGGGGTGAGGGGTCCACGTAGGGTTAATTCTCCCTACCTAGTGTGAGACCACGTCCTGCTGTTTGCTGTCTGACACATCACATACATGGGGCAACAAATACTGGAAACTTAGCAGCAAATAATGCTGCCACGCCTGAATATATTCAGATTATATTTATATCCACACACATGCATATGTGTAATACACACTCATTACCCCTGATCAACGATACACATGCTCTTTGGATTCTTCTGATCTATTGGGGTTAATGTGCAAACCATTTATTACTTTATTATCATGTCTTGTCTTTATTCACATGATGCTCGCGTTGCCATATGTATAACATTGTAAAGCCATAATTACAGACGCTTCAAGTACAAGATTATTTCTTCTTTAAATGAAGTGATAGTGTGTTTCTATTGTTGTGGATGACAGGGGAGGAGACATAGGAGTTAATTAACAATGATTAGGAAGAGCTACAGTCACTGAACAAGCCAGAGTTCTATCTCAATGCTTCACTCGGTAATGGCTTCCTTTCCTTTCCTTTCCTCTGACTTGCTTCCTCATATTTTTCCTTGTGTCCGTCCTTGCATGGGAGATTGTCCTTTTGAAGAGGAGAGCTGGACAGCCCTCTACTGGCTTAACGTGGTAACTTAACCACCTTGATGACTTAAATGGATATTATGATGGAACTATAATATTTAGCTGAACTGATTAATAGTGAAATAGTGGCGCCGTGGTTAGCGCTGTCACCTCACAAGAAGAAGGTGCCAGGTTTGAGCCCAGGCCGAGTTGGGGCCTTTCTGTGCAGAGTGTGCATGTTCTCCCTGTGCCTGTGTGGGTTCTCTCTGGGTACCCTGACTTCCTCCCACACTCCAAAGACATGCAGCTTAGGTTGATTTACAACTTTAAATTGCCCCTACTTATTTCTTGGCTAGATAAATGAATGCTTGGACTAGAAATTGAAAAAAGTAATTTTCTTTTTTCATAACTGTTGAAATCTTGCCCCATATGAGGTGAGGCCTAAGGATGATGATGATCAGAGCTTTTGGTTTTTGACCCAAAGCAACTTATGTCAACAACTGTTTGCTGAGTAGTCAGGGCCCCACATGATTTCTCAGGACTAATGTGACCTCTAGACCTTTCCACCCACAAGCCAATATTTCTACTGGTAATAAATAAATAAATAAATTCTAAATGTAATCAGCAGATTTTTATATTTGTCAAGCACATGTGTACTCCTCTTGAGGATTAACCCTTTTGATTTTGATGACCCTGTGACTGACCTCATAACTTTTCTCGTACCACTCTCAGGACAGACTTTACATTTTTGACCCCACTGCTGAGGCCAACCAAACTGTAATAGTAAATGCTGGCACTTCTCCAAGCCACCTTAGAATGTAATGAGTGTTTTCTAAGCCAATATAGCCATTCTGGTCTGGAGACCCACCATGGATGGGTAACTGAACAGGCCTACTGGGCCCTGGCCCAGGGGCCCATGGGGTTGAGGGGTCTCTGGACCAGGGCCTCTATATGTGACTGTTGACTTTTCTTCTTGAAAAATAAATCAAACGACTACATAAAGATGCAAAATAAGTAAAAATAAAGCCACAAACAGATGTAAAATTAGCTAAAAAAAAGAGGTGCAAAACCGGTACAAAGTAATGCAAAAAAAAAAAAAAAAACTACAAGGGAGGCTAAAAACAAGTGGTGCAAAACACAAAATGAAGACAAAAACCTCCAATATGATTTCATAGATAGACTAAAATTCCCTGTTCTATGCCTCCTCCAACCAGTCAAATTCACAAGAATGGGAAAGACATGAGGTCACTGACCTTGACTTTCAACCATCAAAATCTATTTTTAAGAACTCCCTTAAGGTGTTTCTGGCATACTGCATTCACAAGAATGGGATGAGTGAACAATTTGGATGTGCAAACAGACAACCAGAAAACATAAGGCCTCTGGCCTGGAAGAGGTGCAAAATAACCGCAAAGCCATGCAAAGCGAGTAAAAAAGAGAAGCAAAGCCACCAAAAACAACCACAAAGAGACACAAAATGATTACAAAAAGATATAAAACAAGTACAAAGATGTCAAAACAATCACAAACAGACACAAAATAAGTGTGACTGCAGACGAAATGACTAAAAGACACGCAAAACAACTTCATACACAAAACATAAGTAGAACATCGACCAAATCAACTACAAAGGTGCAAAAGTAAAGCAAAATAAAAAGTCTCTTTCAATTTGTGGGTCTTGCTCTACAGTATGTAGTATGGGTGGGGGGGCTTTTTACATGTGTGTGTCTCATAATCTGACAGTAAGCACCAAAATGAAGTGAAGAGGAAAACCGAGAACCTACAGTAAGGTGACATGTAGATTTATTTGAAGCATTTACAAACAATATGTTTTGCTTTTGGAACACGGCTTAATGAATAAGGAGTGTGTTGTAGATGTAGGTCAGGTGAATGTCCCATGTTTAATAACAAGCTCTGCACAACTTCTTCCATCAACCTTGCTACCGCACACATATTGGCTGTTTTCAACACAGTGGATGACATGATCCCAAACTATGCCAGCGAGTTATAAGGAATACTAGCAACAAGCCCAACGTTGGCCTGTCACAGCTGAATCACACATACAGTCATGTGACGGATCACAGCTGCCATGTACCAAAATTAGAGGGCATCCTCTGACATCACAGGCAGCATAGTAAACTCAGATGACCTGTGGCATTTGATGGCTATAGTGCTATATTACAGTACTGCACTCCCAAGTATACTATCTTACAGTACATAAGTCAGATCTAGGATTGACGTTGCATGTACAGTAAAAACACTGTATATTTCAGTAATTAACACTGGTGCATTCCTGATCTCAGAATGTGTATGTGTGCATGTGGCCGTGTGTGTGTTTGATCAGCGATGTCTTTGACGCAACAACCACCACTCCTGCTTCTCAGTAGATCAGATGAAAAGCCGACGTGTGCGACTGAGAGTCCGCCGCCTGTTTCTGAATGCTGCCCATTCAGACCAGTGAAAAAGAAGGATGATCTAATATTGTAGCAGTTATGATACAATCACAAGTCTCCATTTCTGCTTTCAGATAACACTGAGGAAAAGAATGAATGCCCCGGCGGACAGGTCACTGTGTGTGTGCAATGCAATAGATGATCTAGTAGAGGCAGGGGCTTTTGAATTAAGGTTTCTATAAACATGCAGGGAGGAGTAGGGAAACACAACAGTGTGAGGCAGTAAAATAAAGCATGGCTGATTGAATGAAGGAGTGAAATGTGATTTGGGTGAAGGAGGCAGGTGGCTGGCCCGCTATAAACCAACCAAACCCACAAACAGCTGTTCATTTCTCAAAGCCCGCTTGTACAGCCCCCTCTCTCTCACCTCACTTTATCCAGCCGTCCCCCCACCTCACTGTACTCCAGCTACTGTAGCCTACTTTGATTATCAGCCAAATGCATCTCACCTTTCGCGGTGTGGACTCATCAGATGCAGCATTAATAACGACAGGAGAATGCAAACAAGTGAAAAAAGTATTGTTAAATAAAAGCAGTCTTGGCACGTCACATATTTCTTCTTAATTATCATATACTATACCTATCACATCACACTAACCCCATAAACTGCAAAACACTGTGGTAGTGACATTCATTGGCAAGTGTTGTTGTGATATTCATTAGTTAGATTTTTAGATGAGATGTTTTTCCTAATAGCAATCAACAAACTCTAAACCAGTGTCTCTGACTGCATGCTACTTAACACGTAAAGGCTGGTGCTGTAATACTGGTCGTATCTTTCTAGCCTGTATTTAGTGTACGTCACACAAATGTGCCACTCGGTCCAAGTCCAGGTCGGTCCTGTCTCCTCCAGTGGGCCAGATGGTGTGGTCACTTGCTGTCACACAACGCCCGGCCCACCAACATGAAGACCAGCCCAGAGACGAGCTCCAGAGGCACGCCAGCCGCCGCCACCATGAACGACAGGCCGTAGAGCACTGAAACGTGGGCGTGCGGGCATGCGTCTCCTCTCTCCTGCAGGATGTAACGCTTCACATCCACCACCTCCATCCACAGTACATAGAGCAGAAGCATAAACAGGAACAAGCAGGCTGTGGAGTGATAAAGAGGGAATGACACTGAGAAGCAAATAGAGGCTATCACAGAGGAATGCAGCTCCTACTCATCTCTACTGTTACCACGGTAGCAGTGTTTACACCTCCTGTTGTTATAGCAACAGCGCTGCAGCATGACAGCTGCAGTTCTGTGTGCCGGGTGTGTGTTTGTTATGTGACAGGTACGAACAGCAGGAAGAGTTGCAACATGTGTTTGTGGCTGTACATTTCACACTGCACACACTATGAACTACGTGTGCACACAGAGTAGGTGATAGTTTACCAGCAGCGATGAGGAAGGCTCCGCCCAGCTTGTAGAGTTTGTGGCTGATAAAGGGGACACCACAGATCAAGAGGAAGCTTCCAGTCAGAGCCGAGACCAGCCCGAGGATGGTCAGCACGGTCCAGAAGCCTCGAAACACTGAAAGAAATACAAGCAGGCCACCATCATAGAGCTGGGGTGGGCATAGCTTGGAGAATGTACGCTTGCAAGGGCAGCTATGGAAGACATGTCCCGGGGGTTTGAACAACCTCAGGGAGCGACATCCTACAGCTTAAGGAATAGTTTGATATTTTGAGAAATACACATTTACTTTCTTGTTTGTGAGAGTTTGTTACATACAGTATCTGTCCATTAAATACCATTACCATTAAAACTCACTAACAGGTTATATCTTGTTAGTTTAATGTGCACAAGAAGCATTTTCAAATTTTATTTAAATAGGGAAGCTTTTAAGCTGGTAAACAACTAAAGAAGATTTGATATTTCTCCACATGGATAAAGCTTTGAAATGGAATTTAGAACTTTATGTTGACATATAAAATTTGGTGAAAATACAGTTGATGATTTAACCAAATGAATTATGCAAAAAGATAAAATAAAATAAATCAAAGAAATAGGTCTAGGTTTCTACAGGGTGTTTTCAATCCATTCAAACACAATCCTAAGCTAAATGGTTGTGTGAAGAACTATGTTTGCACCTGCTTTATTGCTTTCATTAAGTCTTACATGCTCATTCAGTCATTACAATGACCCTTTAGCATCTCATGTCTGGGTAAATAATGTTGGTGAATTAAGAAATTAAATAAATTTTACTGCTACGCTAATTGTATAAATGGCATAATGTAAATCATGCATGTGTGTTTGTGTACAACTGTGAAAAAATGTATGTGTGAGAGTGTATTCATAGATGGATGACGTACAGTAATGTATAGTCACGTGAGCCTCCAGAAGCTCTTCACTGCTCCTTGCTATAGTTTCCACACGTCTCTGAACTCACTGAGCTGAATGAACACCATTCTTTCCAATTATATGTCATCACTCTGTCTTTTAATAGTGGTGGTGGAGTCTAATAAAATGGCCCAAAATCTCCTATAGGTGGCCTTTGATTCACATTGAACCCTTCACTGACCCTTCATATCCTGTATGGCAGCATCTGCATTAGTGATGCTTCTCTACTCATTTGTTCAGGCATTTATTAACTGTCACCTGTCTGTGTGTATGTGCCTGTGAATTACCTGCTGCAACATCATAACTTGGATGAGGCACCTGTCCAATTGTGACAGGAAGAGGGAAGAGGTAACCATGGATGCACACCTTGGATTCTGGCTGGTTTGCTACAGGAAAAAGAAAAGGTACAAAGGCCCAGACCTAAAAACATAATGTGGTTCTAAGAAGACAAAGACCTACTGTAAGTGACTGAGTACAGGGAAAAAAATAAGCATTTTTTAGCAAGTCAAGCAAACCACACTGGACAAGTCTCAATGAAAATGTTTTGCTGCCATAGAAGAAAGTTTTTTACATACTGAAGAGAGTGGCCAAGACTACATGCGTTGTGGGTTCCACCTGAAACACACAGCGCCAGAAGAAGCCCTCATGGTGGAGAGAGAGAGGCAGAGGAGAGTCAGTGATGACTTCCACCAACTGGATCTAAAGAAGAAAGGGACAGACTGACATCAGTGAACAGACACAGATAGACAGTCAAATATCTAAAGATGGATGGAGCTTCATTTCTGTCCGTATGTAGCTGCTCTGTGTGATTCTGTGGTGTAGTGGTGCCACAGCTTCAAACGTGGCTCTGATTATGGCCTGCTGGTCTGTGAGGTTTTCATGGAGAACATATGAAACGCATGAGTGATACTCTCCACCTTCTTGTCAGAAAATATGATTGATGGTGCTGAATAACACACAGCAACTTAATCATCCTCTTTTATTGAAAATGAAAGACTCAGGACTATGGCGTTAGGGAGCAGTTCACAGGGGGTTTAGCTTTTATAAACATATCCATTGCTTTGCATTTTGTGAACTTTCTCAAATGTGTCATGGAAGAATAAATTGGAATATTGAAGGGGCAGTCCACCAATTTTACACACTAGGACTAGGTAGACTTATTCAGACTATGAAAACAGTTGGTCCTGGAGGAGGTTTGTCAAGTCCAAGAAAACTACCCCGATGATGTCAGAGATATCTTGGCTTGGAGGGTAGCCATTAGTTTTTCTAACCACTAGACCACCAGGACTCCTGAGGCTAAATTCTCAGCTGTGCTAGCAGCGTGGCTTTAGGGATGGAAAAGCCTGTCTCATTCCACCACTTTGGGCCAGACTGAAATATCTCAGCCCCTACTGGATGGATCGTTGTGAAAGTCTGTACAAACATTCATACGTTCTGTGGTTTAAACTAACAATATTATCAGCCATGTCTGTATCATGTGTTTAGTGCTTCTAACACACTAAACTAAGATTCAGAACAATGGTGGAACAGACTACTCTGATTGTTTACTTAAGTAACATTAGGATTACAACATCTGTTACAAGTCCTGCATTCAAAATCTTACTTAAGTAAAAGTATGAAAGTATTAGCATCAAAACATACTTAACACTCATTTTGCTGAATGGCACATGTAACATTATTGAATTATTATTGGGTACATTACAGTTATTGTTGCAGCTGGTGGAGGGAGCTAGTTTTAACCAGCTTGAATGCTAATTTGAATTAAGCTACCGATGAGTAGCTTGAGTTTTCCACGGGAGAGCAATCATTTCTGATGATTATACTGTCATTTTTGTATTAATCTGAAAAGTTACTACAGTAGTAACAAAAGTTATAAATGTTGTGGAGTGTCTGTTTATCTATCACAGGTACTGTAGCATTGTGCATCCTTTAGGGAAGGACAATACTACAGTACATTACTTTAATACCTCTTAAAATATCCCACAGTGGCATAGCATGCGCTTCATTGTCTCCATACCATCTGATAAGGTTTCACTGGTAAAAATAATATACTTCTGTGACTATTCTGTGCAGGGTGTTTAGTTGGATGTCACAACACAGTTCTAAAAGTGAGGAGTTAGATTTATATTTGTGTTAATGAATATAGACATGTATGCGACACATGCATCTGTCCTACCTCAGTCCCATTGGCATCTTTTTCTCCTGTCAGTGTAGTTTGTGTTG